AATAATTGGTGTGAGCTGTGTGTATGAATGCAGAAATAAAAAAAAATATAAGGCGGTGCAACATGATGAGAAGCAGGCGAAGAAATTATGCGATCTCCTTCGCTAACTCATTAATCCGACGAAAATCAGACTGAGAGCGAGAGCCGAACGGGGCAACGGTTTCAGTCTGCGAATCAAAGTTTAAGTTTCCGGTTCAAAACTCGGATATTCATGTCTATCTCACTAAAAAAAATGGAAGCATCTTCAACAAAATTAAGAATCATGAGAAACTCATCATTAGTGTTACAGACACCCCGTTGCCCAAGCAAACTGACTAATTGATTTATTCTCAGTTGCCGAGAAAAAGGAATACAGAATAAAATTATGATACACTTATTTTACAATGATCCGCCGAGGTGGAATGAAAACAGGTATAGACTACTCTCAGGAAGAACATGTGATTGGTTCTAATTTGCGGAAGATGGGATGGTCTCAGGTAAAATGATCGTACATCCCAGGCTTTAAATGTCGAGCTTTATCAATGCGTAGAGACATGGACCGACTGATTGCTTGTTTACATTAGCTTTGTGAATATGTGGATAAGAGAAGATCCAACTGCTAAGTCAAAGATCACGCAGGGACTCCTCATAGAGTAAATAGAGTCGGAATGTAAGAGGGAGAGCTGGCGCCACTTTTAAGCATTTTCCAGGTCCCGAATTCCGAGACTCCTGTGTCAAAGAGAAAACTTCAAAGGGAAAATGTTGCATAATTGAGTCTTCTCAGGGAAAATTTTGAGCTTTTCCTGCCAAAAAATGGTCTGTTCTTAATTTTAAAAACGAAGTATTGGTCTCGCAATTAATAAGCAAAGATTCCTCACATTTCTTGAGAGGGGCCGAGTAGATTTTTAGGGGAGAGGGGTGGCAGGCTCCTCTGTCACCCTATGCCGAAAAATCCATGAAATCGAATCGATTTTAGGAGGTCAATTAAAATTCGGAATTGATTTTGAGAGCGGAAATCGAATTATTAAAGAAAAATCGAAATTTCCGACGTTCATGTGTCACATAAGGCCTAGGTTCTGTGATACCCGAGTTTCATTTAAAGTTCAGTTTTAGTATTAATAATGGTTTTGGCGCCGAACTTGGATTTTTAAGTGTTTTAAAATCGATTTCGGAAAAATTTGATTTTTTCTAAAATCGTTTTCCATCCGATTTTAAAATCGAATCGATTTTTTACCGAAAAGCAAACCGATTTCCCGAAATCGCTTTATTCGAAAAAATCGCCATCCCTACGGCTGACAGCGACGAGGTCACTGGCTTACGATCGCGGAACCAACAACGGTCGACGATGACTGAGACGAGACAGAAGGGGCCCCGGCGACCGTTTCCCCCGCCGTCGTCGTCCCCCATAATTCGTCGCCCCTCTGACGTAAAGGCATATCTCACTTGAGCCCGGTTTTACATGTAAATCCATGCTATTCGGGGCTCATGCGGGAATCGAGATACGCCCTTACGTGAGAGGGACGACGAATTCTAGGGCCAGATCCGGGCCCATTCATAGTTTATGACTTTCCTGAGGCCGGAGTCGCCGTGTCGTGGATGACGAATCGTCGAGGAAAGGAGCTCCGAACCGCGCGGCCCCGACTCGGCGGTTGCGTAGCGCACCCGCAGCAATATTTTTAGTCTCGTTTCCCCTGTCGCGGGTCGGCGGCGCAGACGGAGATTCGGGGTCGGGGAGAATGATGGCGGCGAGGGCTCGGAGCACTGCAACTTTCCGAGGAGCGTGGCTCACAATTTGCGAATTGGGGAGAGAAATATCACTTCGTAGGGCCCCTCGATAAGGTCTGGTCGCTAGAACACCGACCCGGCAAGCGCGAGAAGCCGTCTCTTGCCTTGCGCGGTTAAAAGTTCATAAGACCGAAAATTCTGATACCACTATTCTAACTCTATGGAGCGCAAATTGCCTAACCTCTCAATTGAAGGAAAATTGAATTCAAGAGGCTGCACCTGTGCCTTACAGCGGAAGCCAAAGACAGATCACGGATTTCGCCCACAAAATCGAGCGTATGCAACCCGGCCCACCGCGAAGTTAATTTAGTTGCGTGTTGGGTTCAAACCCAACTTCGATTATTCTTCCATTGTTTTCTTTACTTTTTTGCTGAATGCATTTCTTCAAACTTTCTCAATGATTCTCTACAGGCTGGTAGTGACACAAATCGCCAAGGGTTGGGCCGCAGACTCCCTAATTTTATGAAAAATTAGGATTAAGTAGGAGGAGTCAAAAATCCGGCCAAAATGCCCCCTCTTATTCTTGTCTCAAAATATCTTATGTAATACGTGAAAGGCCATTTTAATTTAGGAAGAAATAAAAATTGTCTAAAATGTCTCTATCTTCCCCTGTTATTGTACGGCAAATCTTATGCTGCATGGAAAGACGTCAGGCCATTGGTGGATCCAGCAAATCAGCAACATTGTTTCTTCTCCATTTACATCCATCGAAATGTATCGATTCTCGGAGGAGACAGTTGCGCCGACAGGAATCGATTATTCGACACAGGTTCAAATGGAGAAGAGCCGGTGGTGCCAAATTCCTGAATCCGCTTCTGCGTTGGGCTTTCAACATACTAAAAAGATACTTCCTCTCATGGGAAAAAAAATAAAAAAAGAATAAAAACGCAAAGCGATCGAGAAGTGATCGGAAATCGAGAGTTGGTGACATGCGGGTAAATCGAGTGGATCGATGAACCAACTGACTTGATGCCGGTCACCGGATACGCTTACTGCTTCCCGGCAGAGCAGCTCCTTGCGTAATGCGATAGGCGCAATGAGTATACTAAGGAAAAAACGCCTTATAAGCCTCCACACGTTGCCAAATCCATTCGAATAATATACGAATTTACCGAGTAACAGGGGTATATTCGTCCTCCAATTGTGGAAAGAAATTTATTCGCACTTTGATCTAGATCCAAAACTTTCAGAGAAAAATATTTGGAACTTTCTTCGCGGTAAATAGTTTATCCCGATAAATTTGGTAGCATTCGGATGATGTTCATAGGGTGTTTTTCCTTCGAACAGCACGAAAACCGATGACGGCACGCCGAGTTGACTTCTGCGCGATATCCACCCACGACCGTTCTTTTGTTAGAAGCGTGGTTTCTGCCACTTGCTCAGCTCTGCTTCTCTCTACGCACAGCTCGATGGCAAACCCCAATTTTGATACTAGGGAGGCCACAATTTTTGTTGAGTTTACCCTGACCTTCGAAAAAAATGTACAGTAGACTCTGGATTATCCGTATTAATTGGTGCCGGACCCGATCCGGATAAAAAAGAAATCCGGATAATAATAGTAAACACAAACACCACCAACCAACACCACAGTATTCTTATTATGTATACATCGTATACATACCAACACGAATTAAAAAGGTTAACGCCAAACTGAACGACTCAATGGTGATTGTGAATGGTAACCGACAACGATAAATTACAATACAACGATTAAAGCGCGCAATGCGTGAAGTATTCATGCAGTCTTGTAGCCGCTAATGTGCGTTTTAGGCTAACTAAACGACTGCTCTGCGTTTGGTGTAATGCGAGAAGTATTCATGCAATCTAGTAGGCGCTAATGCGTTCCACGCCGACCTCACTGTTTGGCGCAATGCGTGAAGTATTCCTTCAGCCTTGCAGGCGCCAATATGCCTTGCGACCGCTTCTCCGCGGATCCGCTCACTTATCGGAATGCGTACGTAGTTACATGGTTGCAAAATCGATCCGGATAATCCATAGTCCGTATAATACGAAGCCGGATAATCTAGAGTCTACTGTATACCTTTAGCTCAAAGTACCATGACTTTTGATAACTCCGGACACAATTTCTTAGTCAAGAGATTCAATTATGGAAAAAGGCATTCAGGGGCTGGTTAGAAGATGACAAGCCTTAAAAATGACCAGAAAGACTGAATAGCAAGAAGATCAGCGATGTGTTTTCGTCATTAGTAGATCCGTCAGAAATTCCCTGAATTTTCCCGGTCATCGCAAATCCTCCACCTTTCCTTGATTTTCCGATTTTCCCGGTTTTCCAGAGAGCCGAACCCTTCACTGTTTAGGGTTGGACAGGATTTCCTGACTTTCCAAGAACTTATCACCTTGTTACAGGAACTTGTCACTTGTCAGTTGTCACCTTGACTGATGTAAGGGTTGCCACAGCATTAGGAAAATTAAATTTCCTCACATTTCCCTGATTTCTCCGTCACATTTTAGTAAAAATCCCTGTCAATTAAGCATATCGACGGTGAAAGTCGGCCATCACATAACTCGTTAGCGGTGTCTGAAAATCTCCGCCTCTACGTCATTTTTTTAAAGGAGAGCAAATTGACATTGTTTCTTAAAGTTTTTGCAGAATTTTCTTCGCATTGAGAAGAAAAATCATGACAGTTTTAAAGAATTGCCGTTGAGTAGTTTTCAATTTAAAAAATAAAGTACGACAGGAAGTCTGCGACGTCGCAAACCGAGTTATGTGATTGCCGACTTGCACCGTCGATATGCTACATGCTGAAAAAAACTTGATTTGAAATGGTTTTCGGGCAAAATTTGTTGTTCGAAACGTCAAACCCAATCTAGAGAGGATATGAAGGTGACTTGACAATTTTTCCCAAGCATTTCCTGGTTTTCCCTGACTCAGACATTTTCAGTAGGAAGAATACAAATCAAATATAAAAATTCCAAATAGAAACCTGCAGACTTCATGATGGCTAAATTGATTCTCATTCGATTCTCTGGACCATCATTTAGTCTGCAGGTTTCTATTTGGAATTTTTATATTTTACTTGTATTCTTCCAACTGAAAATGTCTCAGTTTTGGGCCGAAACGTCTCGGATTTTTAGGTGAAATTTTTAGCCTTGTTTCCAGTTATTTCTCCGATGTTTTTGATATCACCAGTGTCACGGGCTGCTGTTTTTTAACATTTTTTAACCTATTTTCCTTGACTGTGGCAACCCTGAAATGTATCGATGAAATCTACTCACTGTACTGGCTGGCGATGATGTGCGGGGAGGGCGGCGTGAGGATCCTGAACGAGGTGATGGGCGAGCTCCTGATGAAGGCGTGCTTCTCCGGGGGGCTGATGTGCGAGGGCGGGAAGGCCCCGTTGGTGGCCGGCGGCGGGGCGCTCGTCGGGCCGTGGGGCCCCAGGGGCGCCGGCGCCGGGCCCGGCGGCGGCGGCAGATAGCGCATGGCCGGCCGGCTTATTCGCCCCTTAGCGCACGCATTCCACGCATCTTCATGCGCCTCCTCGAATGTTCAATTGCTTTTATTCACCATGTAAGTTCCTTATCGCGCTTCGATTCACTGCACGAGGCGATTTTAACGTTGAATTATTTCGACGTGCGGTTATTACGATTCACTGCGCGAGGCGATTTTAACATTGAATTATTTCGACATGCGGTTATTACGCTCTTTCGAACGTCACTAGAAATTCACGAAAAAAGGTTACGTCAGGGGTACAGAAGCTTTTCGGCCATGGGACCGGCGCGGCGCACAGAAGATCGAGTTAATGTGAGCGGTCGGACAAAATTTGGTAACTTTAAAAGCTCATAACTCCGTTCATACAAAGCTTTGGGGTTTTGAAAGTAGTTTCATTGGTTTCCTCGTTAAATTTTCCTCTAGAAGCACACCTTGAAATTTAATTGTGACAAAATGAACGTCAAAATTTGCAGTTTTAGTACAAGATTTCATGTCCAACTTATCGAATTGACTCGATCCACTGTGCGGCGAGTCACGCTTGGTCCGTGCGAAAATGAGCTTCGGTAATGGGAAAGGCGGCACGCGTAAGCGCTAAAATCGCGTATTTTTCGAGATATCGTGGTGAAAATCGCGTGTTTGGCAAAACCGGGGGGAAATCGCGTATTTTTCGCAAAATTGCGGCAAAAGAAAATTTACACGGATCTGAAAATTAGTGAATTTCATGTTTCAGAGAAACTACCCGGGTACCTGAGCATATGGTTTCTTAACTCATTAATCACTCTCAGATGAAGCAATAAAATTCTTCCGTGCAAATTATCCATTACCGGGTGCGCAAAGTGCAAAATCGGGATAGAATAGCGGCAATCGGCGGGGACCATGGTTCGAGCATGTCAAACACGGAAGAGTATCAAAGAGTAGCACCGAACTACACTCTAAAATCCAGGCTCTTCCAGAGAAGAGTAATGGAGACGGTTCCCCTCGTGAAGTCGAAATTACACATTCGTACACGAACCGGGGCCCATTCAGAGAGGGCAATGTTCTGGTCGCAAGGCAAGAGGAGCAGTTTCAATTGACCCTAATCTCCGACACCTGCACGCGTAATCTGCTCCCGTCTAGACATGCCTCACCTTTGAAATTCAAAGGCTCCACTCGCCCTTTACTTTGGACCCCTCGACGGGGCCGAGTCCAAGGGCGAACGAGTTCGGGACCTCCTAGACACCGGGAACCCCTCCGAATTTCGTGGACTTTGGGTTCGACGCTTCTACGATTCCTCCTTGGGCCTGAAATCCCCGGATTCGTGCGGTTTTCCAAGATTAGCAGCGGGTCAAAAATCAATGCGTTTTCTTACTAGAGAGCGAACTTGCAGTTTGCCAAATCGCATTGAAACACCGCTGCAGCACTTATCGTCGTTCTTCTCACGAAACACGTCAAACATTTTAACGTTGCCAAATTTCTCCTCGTAAATTGCATAATAATCGGGAGGATCTTGGAATTCTTCTTGGCAAGAGTAGGAGAACAATTTTTGCGGAATCAGAACTTGTTTTTTTGATAAATGATAAGTGAAACGTTGACGGCCGTTTTAACCCACGTGTATTTTTTTCCTGACGTTTTTCTGATAATTGAAGATATATGCCAGACGGACAAAAAGACATAATTAGAAATCCGTGCAAAAATACCAAAACCCTTCAAACGAATTTTCCCCCTTCACCCCTACCGAGGGGGCCCCGATTCAACTGCACCTGATCGATGACGTCACCGGGGGGCGACCGCAGCAAGTGGGTCACTGGAAAAGAGAACAGAGACATCATTCACGAGCCGCCGCACAGTGGATCGAGTCAACCAGATAGGTCGGACATATAATTTCTCACTCCAACGGCAAATTTTGATGTTTATTTCGTCACATTTTAAATTTCAAGGGGTGCTTTAAGAAGGAAACTTTACGATGAAACCAGTGGAACCACTTTTAGAGCCTCAAAGATTTGTATGAACGGAGTTATAAGCGTTTAAAGCTCCCAAATTTTGTCCGACCTCTTCTATTGACCCGAACCAGTGTGCGCCGCCGCCGCCGTTCATTGAAAACGGCGCTAGGGGGGCGAGGGAGGGGGGGGCGGTAGGATTGCACCAAAATGCGCCCCCACCGAGGGGGATCGATCCCGACACGACGGGTTCCCTTGGCGAAAAGCGCAGCGCTACGGGCGAGGATGAATCGCGAATCCATCCGGCGGATAGGAGAGTCAAGGACGAGGAATTCGGGCGCGGGTGCGTTGGACGACCACGAGACCACGACCTGCGACAAAGCCAGCGCCGACACCGACACGAGATCCCGCGGCAGAGCCGGGGCCGGAGCCAGACGCGGGCGAATCAATAAACCTCCGCGCGATCCGCTATAACCTCACGCTGCTCCTCCATGCCGCCGAACTTGCGTAACCCCCGAGACAATATATTTCAGAGCCCGCACTCCTATCATGCTGCCGTGCTGAGGAAAAACGCCGTATGGAACTTCAGGAGTTGCCGAATTTCCCCTAATAAAACATTAATTTTTGATGAAAGTAATGAGTATTTCTCCTTGAAATGTTCACATACTTCAGATCGAATTTTGAGAGAAATTCTCTGAAAAATTGGAAGAAAAATGTCAAAAACTTTCCTTGATATTCATGTTTTATAGAGGGTAATTTGGCAACGCCTGAAAACTCATACGGCGTTTCTCCTTACTACGGCAGTAGTGTGAAAGTTTACATTCGCAAGTCGACGCTCGATGACCGAAGTGTTGAGCGATTGATGATCACCAAACCTAACCTAACTCTACCGTGTTACCGAAAATAGCAGTAAACAGGATGTCTATCATCATATAATTTGGGATTTTCCTGATTTTTTCTGATATTTTAGATGAAATTTCCTGATTTCACGCGGGACTAAATTGACGGTCGTTTGATTGAGAAAAAACACCATATTTAATGGAACGAATCAAAAGTTGGAAAAATTCTCAACAATTACTCAAGGCACTTAGCGATGACCAATTTTCCTGAAAACATCAAATTTCCTGATATTTAGCGGGTTTTCCGGTTTTTACTGACGGTAGATACCCTGGTAAATGCGGAAGATAGAGCTTTGGACCCAGTTACGTTTGAGCCGAACATTCTATCGAACGAATCTTCCTTCTTCGTGAAAGCGTCGATCAATATCCATAAGACTGACAGAAATTGTTCGGATGATAAGCTACTGGCTAATTTTTGTTCAGATACTATGGAAAGTACATTTTTCATTTCGCATTAGGAAAGACAGCATGTTCAGCATGCTTACGTGATGATGTTTTGGACACACAACAAACATATTTGAAGTTTGAAAACTGGGAGAAAGGGGTGTCATTTAACGCAAGATGACAGAATGTACGGCTCTCTCTCGGAAAAATATCGGCTTCCTGCTGTTTTGTCTGAAATGACGTAAATTTTTGCGCGCTTACTGCTTTCTAATGGATCTCGCTTTGAAACAAACAAGACGTTTTCACTATTATGGTTGAATGAGTCGGCTCGTGTGGAGTAGATCAGGCACATTTTGAAGGAAACTTGATCCCGAAAAGTTTTGCGTTACTTCCCTTTTCGGTAACACGGTAGTAATAATTACTTTCCGAAAACAGCGACGATAGCCGACGATTGAAGTGTCGAGTGATCGATTCAGCGAACCTAACCTGATCGGAAAGAGCTCGCCGAGCGAATTACGCGCCTCGACGTTCATCGATCATCACCCGACGAGCCCGAAGCTCAACAAGTTGCTCATCAAACATCGCTAGGCGAAGAACTAAACGGTGCTCCCATCCGAACTAAACTTTCGCCCACCCGATTACACTCTCAGCGCGGGGTCTCAAAAATATATCGCCTTTCACTCGAACGAAATAACACGCACACTCGGAGGTGAGAACCGAAACTTACAACTATTCTCAATCACGTGACAAACTCTCACACTGGTGGTGCGAGTAGAAAAAAAACCCCCGTCACTGTAAAGACTAGAAACTATAACCGCACTAATGAAAAAAGGGAGAAACTAACCACTGTTTACGGAATAAAACTAAAAATAAAATTTAAAAAAAAAAATTCACTGATTGCACGGGAACGTGCCGAGAGAGCGATTACGGAGCGGGACACGTGCTCTCGAGAGAGCATCGGATACTAGGTGCAAAACCCCGAGTCTGCGAAGGGGAGCGATCGGTGGGG